TGGTCAAAATGAGTTTTGAAAGGAGCCATTTAAAGCTTTTGAAAGTTCTCAGCATGTGATGTTTTGGCTACAAAAAGCTTTCTCTTTTTCCAGAAGTTAGTCACTAGAAAAGTAGTTGAGAAGGCACAGCTCTTCCCAGTCATTGCCTTGAGCATTTTGTTTAATCTCTGCAATAACAAAAGGATAAAATCTCATGTGTATAGCTAAGTTTTCTTCACCAAAACCTCTTATCTTTTAAAGAAAAGGGAAAAGGAAAACTAAAAAAAAAAAAAAGAGAGAAAAAAATTTTAAAAGATATTTTTACGAAACTATTCACATTCTTTATCCCTTTGCTTTGATAACGTCAATATTAATGACTCCTTCCTGCCCCAATCTAGTTAGCATCTCCTAGGTGGTATTTCGTAAGCTGACATTTATTTTTCTTCTAACAAAAATATAAAGATACTTATTCTTGAAAAAGCAGTGGTGAGATTTTTCTTTAGATACTGTATGCCTGTGGATATTGTATGCCTTTCTTTTTTTTTTCCCCAAGAAGTTAAATCATTCAGGTACACTTGTGCATGAGATAGAATTGCTGTTGGCTGCAGAGCCCATCAGTTTGTCTTAATAAAGCACGGGCTGTTGCACACGCGTTCCTTGTGAACTAACCAAGAGAGCAGAAAAGCTGCACAAGAATTTCCTTGTGCTTTCTCCTCAGTACAGACCTAATTATTCCCTCAAATAGCTGATTCTTACACATAGTCTCTCTGGGTGCTAAAGAAGTGGCATATCCTTTACTCCATACAAACCGGGGAAAAAAGGTCCCATTTCACCAAAAAAGATCTCACCCAAACTGATAAATAATACTTTGAACAACTTCATAATATTCTAAACAACTTCATAGTGGTTGGTCATCACAGTTAAATTAACAGACTCTGTGTTTTTTCAGAATTATCCTGTACTAGATTACTTTTAATGTCAAAATACAGTTCAGATCACTGACAAGTCCTGTGTTGTTTGACATGTTCCATAATTTGAAACTCATAATTCACATTGGAAATTATTTTATCTGTATGTTTCATAGGAAAAAAGCTTAAATTATTTCCTGTGCTGGTTTTAAGTGTACTAGTTCATCTTGTCACCTTGTGTATGTTAATACTGTGCATTGTACGTTTCAACTAAACTTGGTTTCACATGGAGCTAATAAATTGGCTTAATTGTATATGAAGCACTGTGTAGGTAAGCAGTATGTACCTCATAAGCTTCCACAGCGTGGTGTGTAAACTTGGTGTCTGAAGCTACACTCGGTAACAAAAACTACTCTTAGAAGCTTTTTTGTTGCATAGTTTTGTCATTTTTGATAGCAGCGTGTTTAATCATAAGCGTGCATAGTGGACAATGAGAAACATTGACACAGTTTTCTGTAATCTTTTGTAGATCCAGAGAGGGCTTGTTATCTACATATGCTTCTTCAAAGGTGCTGATGAGGATCTTGTTCCAAAAATTGGTATGCTATAATCCTTATAAATTCTTGTTTTGTTTGAAAATCAAGAAAAGCAGTAGAGGCAGAGAAGGCAGCAACCATTTGGACAAGGAGAAGTCAAAAAGCAATCAGATAGCATCATTCCAAATCAATCACCTGGCTGAAAGAACAGCTTGGTTGGTCTTGTTTCTTTCGACAGCCATCCGTACCCCTCACTCTGTCCGTCTGCTCATGATCAGTCTGTTAGAAAATCAATTCCCAGGGTAACATCCTAGCAGAGAAAGCGCTGCACCTCCTGTTTGAAATATTACATGTTTCAGGCAACAGGTTCAGTCCAGGACAGAACTGAATTTACAGAAAAATGTTTTCAAATAATTCTTGGCTTGATTTGAGAGTATTTTAACACTGATCTCACTGTATGTGTAGGATATTTAACATTCTAGCCAGTAGAGGGAGTCGGGTGGATAACTAAGCGGTGTCCTCCCCATCTCGTTTCAGAGATACTGTGCACACGGGTAGCATTTCAAGTGCAGTTTTCTGGTTCAGAAGTGGTAACAGCAATATCTTCAGTTCTTTCCCTCTTCTCCACATACACTTTAACATTTACATCAAAGCAGAGAAGATGCTGTGGATAAGGTCAAATGGTAGTGATTTCTGGCTTCATACACTGCTGGTTTGGCTTGAGGTTTAGTGTTGTTTTTTTTTTTTTTTTTGCTTTCTTTGTTAATTTTATTTCACGACTTCTCCCTCCTTTGCTCCATCCTTTGCTGGATCACCTGGGAAATTCCGTGATGCCATCTATTCCAGATAAAAGTGTCCCTTTTCTTTTTTGTGGCTGGTTAATATTAGTGGTTTCACAAAAGGTCGTAACAATAGTCTATTTCGGGCTACCTGCTGGGAACAGCAGAAAGACCTGGCAGTGCAGCAGCACAGGTGCTATTGAAAATGCTGAGAGCAGCTCCTGGGGGGTTCTCTCTTGGTCTTGGAAGGCACAGTCTTTCTGTGATGCTAAACTAAGTTGAAATCTTAGGGTATATTTACAGCTATTATATGAAAATTGATTTTGTGCTTGTGAGAGTTTCAGGAGAGTGTTTCTTGAAAATAATGGCCTTTTCAGCTGTAAGGCAGTTGAAACAGGCCAGAAAAAGAAAATTCTGTTTCCTATTAGGAGATTCATCTAAGTTTATGCTCCTTAAGTGTCTGTCTTACAGTATGTTTTTTCCTAAATATATTTTGAAACTGTTTAAATGAATGGGTTTGGTTCCAGATTCACAACTCAGCTCTTTTTGCTTTGAAGAACATGACAATTTTATGGGTTTGGAGGCATGACTAGTATCCTCACAACTTTTACAGAGTTGGATGAAGTTTTGCGAGAGTCATTTGATTTGTTATAGAAACATTGGAAAATATAATGCTAGTAAATGCATCGATTTTAGGTGCAAGTTTATATATTCTGGCTGATGGGCCAAATTGCATCTGGGACATTCCTGCCCATTTCCTCTCTCAAAAGACAAGCTGGCACCCCCACGTCCCGCAGTGGGGCACGCGCTGAAAAGGCACTCGCTCCACTCAAGACCAAGCTGCTGAGCTGTGGCTTCAGCACAGACCGGTGCTGGGCCCTGCTGAGAACTGATGCAACCGGAATGAAAAGACAGGCAGGGCAGAGACTTCCCTAAAGTGCACTGAAGGTGGTGGTATCTCCTACAGCGTGTAGTGTTGTGCAAATGTTGCCCATCTGAGTATCAGGCAGTCAAGTCAGCGTCATTAGTTAAAATTCTGGGTTCCTTTATGGGCGTCCAACTAGAATCAACTTCAGGACTTTAGACAGCCAACCATCTTCCCCCAAAATAACTCTTTAGATATATTATATTGATATAAATATCCTTCACATTCTTCACAATACCAAGACATCTTAGTTGGTTAATAGTATTTATTGACTGTCCGTGTTTCATTTCATTAATAAGCAGTTCCTTTACTTGACTGGTTTGTCATGCATCGCAATATTTGCTGAATCTTGTTTATGATGTTATATTAGGTCCTATCTAATTTACTTTAGTTACACTAACTCTTTTATTTTTACTTGCAGTCAATACACTGTTGAATGTTAAATTAAGTGAAAATGAAAGCGGCGAGTACGTTTCAATTCTTGATTTACCAGGCAATGTGCTAATCATTCCACAAGCTACCCTAGGCGGCAAACTGAAGGGAAGAAAGATGCAGTACCATGCAAACATTGACAAAGAAAAAGGGCTGGATCTTTACTCTCAGTTTGTGACTTTGTGTGAAAAAGAACTGGCTGCCAATGCCAAATGTGTGGAAGCAGGTGTTCTCGTCAAGTACGGCACATACGGGAACAGGCAGGTGTTAAAACTGGATACAAATGGACCTTACACTCATCTGATTGAATTCTGAAAAAAAAAAATGTATTCTGGATACAGGACTGACTTGCAATTGTTGTCCCTGTTTTTATTTGTGGGAATTAATGTACTTATCTGGTTTGGGAGGAACAGTACAAGAAAGACCTTTGCTCATCTGTACGGGTGTTGCCAATCCCATTAAATAGAAGGATGCTTGAGACTCCTTTCTGATAATGAGTACATCTTTTACATCCATATTCATCTGAAGTGTGCTTAAAATAATTGTTAAGATTAATCCAATGAAGACGTATGATTTGGAAGGTTTTATTAACAAAAATGGGGTAATGCATATGTTTCTTACTACAAAATAATGACAAAAGTATTGCATGTATTAGCTATTGCAAAGTACACTTATGGAAGCAAAGTTTATAGATTTAAAAAAAAAAAAAAAGAATGCTGAGAACAAACAATTTATTTGTTCCCAGATTTCCTGAGTCAGACAAGTTTTGTCTTTTTATCTACAAAATAGCAATGTTTTCTAGCTAACAAATATTCTGAAAGCACAAATTCACTGAATTTTCAGCCTCTTAGAGAGAGGTGCTATAAGAAAGTTCACCCCCTCATCCAGGTGGGACACCCTAAATAGTACAAGGACTCAACATGGGCTGTAAAGGGAAGAAAAAGTGAGGCACATCTAGAAACTGAAGTCAAGGCAGTGCCACTGAATTGCTTTCTTGAAGTTTGCACTCTGCATCGCCTCTGATGTGTTCTGATGGGCTGCTTGCTATAGCTTGGTCTGTGTCCTTGTTACCTTGGTCTTGTCTACTCAATTCTTTCATAACACAGCCTCAGGAAAAGGACTGAAATATTCCAATGAAAACAAAATAAAAAAGGTTGGATGTATGCTGCCATCTCATTGTTCCCTCTGCCCCTCTGCCTTCCTTCCAGCTCTTTGTCTGTTGAATCCGCCAGGCAGAGAGTAGCTTATATCTCTTTGATATACAGCGATGGCGCATTGGGGGCCCCGTTCCCAGCTGACCCCCTGTGCAGCGCTGTAATCAACATCATTAACAGATGGAGGTAAGAAGCCACGATGGGAAATTCTGCCTTGTAAAACAGTAAGAACTGGAACAGCTACATTAAAACGTGGCAAATTCAAAACTGATTCAAGTGTATTCATCCCATGATGAGTCAAGCTTCTCTTCTACTGCAGCAGTATGGTTTTGAAGTCAGTAATTTAGACGGGTTCAAAGTGAAATTTGACAATTTGCAGTAATTATCCAGAATTCCCATTCAAATAATTCTTCTGGAAAAAATGTAAAACCTCGTGGTTATTGAGCATGCCAGCTCCAGCAACCTGAAATCGTGGGTCAGTAGTTACAAATATTTTGTCCTTACCTTTATTTAAAAAAAACCCCATAACTGAATGTGTAATCTGCAGGCTCAAACTGTGCCATAAGAATTACATTTTTTGAACAGGTCCAAAGCTCATAGTTTTGATAAGAGAGTAATGAGATTTTTCAGATTAACATAATATACGGTTAGTAATTATGAAATACCTAAGAATGTTGAATTCTGGCAATGGGCACTCTCACAGTTGAAAAGAGCAATTCACACAAATGGCCTGGAAATATTAGCTAGGTCCCAAATGACATTTATTCATTAATAATTAACAGTTATGATAGACACAATATGAGTCATATTCTAAGTTCTTACTAGCGACAATTAAGTAAGATTGTCCTGAGGTGAATAACTAATACGAATTCATTATGATTCGTGTACTTGAAAAAACTTTTTTTATTCTTCTTTCTGGTGGAGGCCAAATCCTATAAGTGCTGAGTAACACCACTTCTCACTGACCTTACAGGAATTGCAAGTATTCAGTATATCTCAAGAATTGATCTTTCAGGTATAATACAAAGTCTGCAGATTTAATTTTTTCTTTTTTTCCTGGCCCTGGAAAGATCTTTGGCAGCCTGACAATTCATCCTCTATATTTCAAGAACTCTGCAAAGTCTAAGAGGGATGAGCCTCAAAATGTTTAGTGAATACACATAAACTTATGTATATTTCAGTGGTATAAACTTATGTATATTTCAGTGGTTCTTGGGACAAGACAGAACTCTGAAGTTTCTGGAAAAAGGCAGCATCTTTCTGTATTATTTGTCCATTTCTGATTTATTTGTGTATGCGCCTTGGGATGCTGATTTCTGCTGTCTTCTGCTCCAGCAACTGGCAGCTTGTTGAATGCTGTGCCCTTTGTACTGCTTTATTTATATCTACTATTGATCCACAATCCATTTACTGAAAGAAGCCGTTTCTGAATAACATGATGGGCCATACTGATGAAAAAATTGATTAAAATTATTTTTTCAAAGCCAAATGCTCAATTCTTTCTACCATGTGTATGCTTTAAACAGATGACCTGACACTGCTTTAAATAGTTTCTATTCTATGACTAGACAAAAGCTCAAATAATTATCCTGTTCTAGACTTAGAAAATATCTATTGGAAGGTACTTAATATTCCCCACTTCCTTGAAATAAACTACAAAATGAGGAGTCATCATTATGCTGTTCTAGCGCGGCCTCCAACTCAAGTGTCACACAGGAATTGCTATATTGGGTTTTTGTGACCTTGTTTGCAGCGCGCACACCCAGTTGTGTCGAAGCCGAGCGTGCATGGACTATGAACTGCGCTCATAAAACTAATGAGTTCAGGTGCAATTGCTTGTTTTCTGGTCAACAGTGCTCCTGCTTCCTTCCCGTGCCCTCTGTGGAAATACCTCTGCTGCCACACGCAGCGTGCAACATACAGGCACTCACCCGGGGCTGGAGGGTAACGCATAGCATGTAGCCCAGTATTACTGGTCACAATGCTGCAGCCAGCTTGCTCTGGCTGGTAACGGTCCATGGGCTTTGTCCTGAGTTTGGAAGAGCAGCGACCTTGAGAAGGCAGCAGCTGCAGCGTAGAGTAGAGGCGTGGGATGGGGAGAGATGGGGCCAGCACTGAAGCCCCCAAGGCTATAAACTGGCTATAAACTCACCAGTGCTCAGTTAGAGAAACACAGACTTGGAGTTGGACAAGACTACTCTTAGGAGTAAAAAAGTGTAGAAAGAACAAGTATCTAAGATAAATAAAATACAACACACATAGTTGCAGACCGGTGAAGAAAAAGCAAGGGGTAAAACTTTATCAGAAAACATGTAAAAATAACCTTGGGTGAGAGCTATTTCCAAAAGAGGAAAAAGGAGAAGAAGAAGAAGAAACCATTGTCACCAATGGCATACTCCTACTGGCACAGGACTCTGGATGCTGATGATCCACTGTGCTCCCCCCACCACATGGAAGCCACAGGGAGGTGAAAGAGTAAGCATGACACCAGGGGTAGGTACTAGACAGTGCATGCATAATGATTTTAACTGTAGGGTTAATATTGAGACTTTCTATACAATTCCTATACAATTAGATCTGGATTAATAATAATTCTTTGATTAGACTGCTAAGGTTGCAACTCGATGGAGAGGGTACAGCAAAGATGATTAAGGGCTTGGAGCATCTCTCCTATGAGGAGAGGCTGAGGGACTTGGGCCTTTTTAGTCTTAAGAGAAGGCTTAGGGGAGATCTAATTAATGCGTACAAGTACTTAAAGGGAGGGTGTCAGGAGGACGGGGCTGGTCTTTTCTCAGTGGTGCCCAGTGACAGGACAAGAGGAAATGGGCTCAAACTTGAATATAAGAAGTTCCACCTAAACATGAGAAGGAACTTCTTTACTGTGAGAGTGGCAGAGCACTGGAACAGGCTGCCCAGAGAGGTGGTGGAATCTCCTTCTCTGGAGACATTCAAAACCTGCCTGGACAAGTTCCTGTGCAACCTGCTGTAAGTAAACCCGCTCCGGTGGGGGGGTTGGACTAGATGATCTCCAGAGGTCCCTTCCAACCCCATACGATTCTATGATTCTACACTAGCAATAAATTCTGTGTGACTTTACACATAGGGTGGGTTTCTTTTTGCCCATAACAAGTTTTTGCACGTAACAGCTCCTGCAGACCGTTGCTTCCCCATGTGGAAATGGCACGCACTTGGTGGTGGGCTGCTGGATGTTAGCCAGCCTTTGTGGCATTTTCATCAGGTCCTTCAGTGCAGCTCTGCTGTTTCACCCAGTTGACCACAAAAGCTGCAAGAAAGTTTCTTTCTTCATGGTGACTCAGTGCAACTGCTGATCTTTACCCCCTCCTTGACAACAAAGTCGGTTCCATCAGCCTGAGGCATTACTTGGATTTAAAAGTATGATCTGGTGAACCTCAATCTCACCTCTGGTATAAAAAGAGCTTCTTTGGAGAAGGATGTATGAATCTTTTAAGCTTCCATTATTTTCTGCTTTTAGTCTCTAATAGTCTCTACTTCTACTAGGTCTCCTTCAAACTCTCTACATTTCTTTTCTGAAGCTGGAGTGGCAGTGCCACAGAGGGCTAGAGCAGTCTCCAGAAATCCACAGGCATTACCTGAGGTCTGTCACCAAACCCCTTCATCACTGGCTTAAAAATTTCTTAACTTATTTGCATCTCAATTCTCATCTCATAAATGGGTATTGAGGTTTTTCTCAGTGCGTCACTACTGAAGACTCTACATTCAGCAAAAGAATGACTGTCACTATATTTAGTGTGTTGCAGAGCACAGAGAGGCTGGGCTCTCTGTGAGACCCACCAGCTGCTTTATATTAGAAATCAGGGTCATAACTGCTGGATGAGAACAGGAATCAGAGCTGCCTCCTTAATCTCTTTTTTTGGGAAAACAGCACCCAAAATTTTAAACTCTCTTAAAAATATAATGAATTTGGTGTCTCCTAATCCTTCATATTTTCCTGAAGTTCCTTGACAGCAACTCAAAATTTAGGAATGCCTACATGATGCTGCTACCAGAAGTGCTGTACAACTACAGTTGAAAAGCAAATGGTATACGGGGGCAAGAGAAAGAAACAGCAGTTAGAATAGGCTGAATAGTATGAATGTATTGCACATTTTCTATTTAAACTAATGCTGTCCGCTAGTTCAATTACTGCCAGCGTGTGGCTTTGGGCAAGGCAATTTTCTGCTCCACTTTTTCCATCTGTGAGACAAAGAAAGAGTGCAAATAAGAGGAAAAGAGGTTTAAAACCACTGCTTTTTCCCTCTGTTACTAAAAGCAAGAAATCACCTCTGTTCCTCTTTGTGCGTCAGAAGGCAGTACGCTCTCACCTCTCTTCACCTTTGCTGGAGCTACAGAGTTTGCCTTTCTCTACCTCCTACCTTAGCTTCTGCCTCACAAATGTGGGTTGAGCTGATGTCCACAGAGCGCTCTGAGTACCTCAGTGAACAGCGCGGTATCACTACAAATAACACCACATACACAACCCTGAAATAGGAAAGACCCAGGCAGCAAATAAAAAGGAAAAAGCAAATAAATGGTATTCCTGTTGCACTGTTCTAGGTCATATATATTTATGTATCTTGTTACTGTGAATTTAAGGTTGCTTTCTATTCACTTTAATTCTATTTGCCTGGGTGAGTGCCACAATATATGCCCTATTACGTCAGTATGTATTAAAAATATGCAAGTAAGGAGCTTAAGGCTATTTAGATGGGCTCTGTTAGAAAAGAGATTGCAATGTAGTTTTTGGATTAACAGCGAAAGCGAAAGGTTTTTGGGAGGCCTTAATATTCAGTTGGCAATCCATATCTGGATCTCATTAGTGTGCAGCTAATTCTTGACAGAATACTTTATCCAAGATTATTCAGGTATTTAATTTAAAAATGTACAAAAGTATATTATTAATATTTACCAGTGAAGATTGATAACTTATTCACATGTTGAACTGTTTGAGATGCATGTGTCATGGGTCTGATAGGACTCGTTTCCCTTTCTTATTTCCCACTTCCATTTTGGTAGCTGTATCTGACATTATCTAGGCCTGCATAATACTTTTATTTACATTTTAGGATTAAAAGTAACAGCAGGACTGTGTAATTGCTTGGCAGGAGTTCAGGCCTTGTATTTTGTGGTAGTACAAAAAGCAACTGTGTTGGGAATAAAAAGAAGTCTAGCAGTATTTAAGCATGAAATAAAACCGTATATTATTTTTGATACTCAACATGTAAAAAATAAAGATTGGTAACTAAGGCTTTTCAAAAGCTAGGACAGACCAAACTGTATTGGCTTCTACATACCTCCAGAAGGCAGCTACTCCCGTGACCCAAATGTTTCACTTTTGGGATTAGAAGCACTGACATAGTTACTGCCTCAGCCCAGGGATTTAGGGACACCCATGGGTGCTCAGCAGTTCCAGAAATGAGCATGTTACAATGTTCATAGGCAGATGAATAACCTAATTCAGATTAATGCCAAATGTAAATTGCCCATTGCTGGTGATGTAACTGTCCACAGAATCACACCTCAACAGGCTGACTCTACTTAAATGGGTATATTGACTGTATAATATAACTGCAAAAATAAAATAAAAAGAAATGTTTAATCTTATAATTAATCTAAAGACATTCCTTCTTACTGGTTTTAAAATATAATGTAATTTGCTTTTGCTTGCCATGTAATTACTTGGTGATGTTTCATCTGCTTTAAATCAGGCCCCTAGTGCTGCGATTCTTACTCACGCATAGACGGTCCCACTGAATTTGAAGGAATACGCTCTTTTATCTTCCTCTAGAGTCACTGAGGATTATAAAGCTGCAAGAAAGAAAATATGTAGCTCAGAGGCAGATATGTCTGCATAGATATTCTATTACGACTGGAATTTGTATGGCAGAACTGATGCATGCTCTAAATCAGTCAACCCACTTTACCAAAATAGACTGACTAATGAGAAGACTAATCAGTAGGTTTGTGCATTGCAATTATTTGCCAGTTGCTTATTTTATTAAGTAATTTGCTATTGAAGCTCAGTCAGGACTAATGGGGAAAAATTGAATCAATACATGGTGAATAAATTTAATTGTCCTATTTTTGTCAGTTTTAGAACAGAATACTATTAACTTGCATGGCAATATTTGTTATTTCAGGTTGAAAGGGAGAAAGATAAATACAGCATGCATTACTGCTGAAATAGATGTTGATTTGAATCAGTGCATGGTTAACACTCTGTTGACCAATTTAGGAAAAAAAAACATATTAAAGAATCAAGGGTAGCTATGAATCCAATAAATACAGATTCTTACCCCCGTGTAAGCGCTGCTGGCACAGAGCAACCCTAAAGCTGATGTACCCGGAGATGGAAGGAGCATCCTGCATCAGTATCTCTCGTTATTCCGTCTGATTCATGTGAGTTGAGCATTAACAGAGCGTTACTTAGAGCTCATATCCTGTACACTGAGGGCTCAGAGAGATCCTTCTTGGGAAGAACTGAGCAAGACCATGTTTCTTACTGATGGTGTTTGGTCTTGCCCTGTGCTCACGTAACATTCAGCATGATGAGGCACTAATCTTGAGTGGGTCTCTGCCTGTTACAACAGAGTAAACAGTAGGTGTAATAATGATCATAACAGCAATCATCTTCAAAAAAATTATTCCAGATTTGGGTTTATTCACTTTTTTTCTGAGCTAAACATGATCAGTCCCTTCAGAAATATTACCAGGTCTTTCCGTTACCTCAGGACTGTCAGAGAGCAGCCTTTGTTTTTCTGGAGTTCATTATGGAAAACGTCATGGCACCAACAGTCTTTGAATACAAATTGTTCAGTTGACCTTTCTCACAAGTTGAATGCCAAACTGTTTTATGTTGAGCAGCAGAAACTCATCTTGTGATGAAAATGAGGTTAACTGAGAAAATAACTTTTTCCTGGGGGTGTGCGTTATTTTCATTACCAGGGGTTAACACCTTTACACCAGTAGGAGTTTGCAGAGTTGATTTCTGTGAATATATTATGGAAACAGTTTCCTGCTTCAGGTGTGAGGCATTTATGTATTCTTCATTACCACATCCATTGGCAGCAGTTTTTTTGTAAAAGGTCATTGCATCAATGCTCATGTTTCTTTATCACAGGCGATTTAGTAAAAATGAAACCAGTGTCCATATACGGTAACGCAGCCGGGTGCTCTTGGCATCTACAGCAAAACGTAATCAGGCAGTTCTGTTCTGTGTGCACTCTTTGAATTATTCCTCAGTGGTATCATCTACATGACTGAACACAGATGTTCATGATTGCACGTAAACTTTACATGTTGAACCTATCTGAAGATGAATTACAAGCTTATGTAAGGCCTAGGCACGATTTCGGCTCCTACGCTTATGCATCCCAGGCATTACTCCCTCCCTAGGATGGTTCGCATCACTTCAGAGAAGATGGCCCCGGAGAACCCAGTTTGTGGAGAGGAATCTTAGTTTTCCCGCTCTGAGGTTTAACCGATGTCGCACTGTGGGAATAAGCAGACAAATGATCATCTTTAAGATTTTGCTGTGTAGTCAAAACCAGTTGTTAATTCAAAACCACCTTATTTCTTCATCAACTTTGTAGCAGCAGCAGCTGAAGTCGCAGAATTAAAACAGAGTATCTCAATGCCACCGAACTAAGTTGTTGCCAGCAGAAACGCGACCTGGGACCTGTCCTCCAGTTGGCTCTGCTCCGTGTTCCGCAGGGTGCAGAAGCAATACAGGCATGGCTGGGCATCGGCTACAAAACTACAGTAAGATTATTGTTTGTTTGTTTTTAAACTAAAAAACGGCTGAGACACATATGTTTTCCCCTTAGTAAGGCAGAAGGCAAACTCTCATGACAGAATTTGGAAAAGAAAAATTCCCCCCCCCCAAGTAGAATTTTTCTCACAACGAGTGAATTCCCTTAGGAAAATTTCCAGGGGCAGAAGTCACTCCCAAGGATGTCGCAGCCTTTTTAGTGGGAGCCCTTAGGTGGTAATGAAGGCGGCGGGTGTCAGTCCCCGAGGAGCCCGTGCTGACCCTGTCTGTCAGACACAGCGGCTCCCTGAGGTGGGATCCCCCCTCGGTTTGGGTTCCAGGCTCACGGTGGTGGAACCCAGGGGTAACAGGCTTAGCAACCGTTGGCCGTCAGGGACGGCTGAGACCGTGACCGGGGGTTCCTGAGGCCCAGGGCCCCTCAGAGAGCACCCTGCGGCCTGAGGGGCGCAGGGGCAACCAGAGGCCACGGCGGGCCCTGACCAGAACCGGCTACAAACCCCAGCGCAACCAACAGAACCACCTTAAAAATAATAATAATAAAAAAAATCTTTAAAAAATAATGACCAAGAGGGTTTTTTTGTTGTCGTTTTCTGTGAGAGCCCGTCAGCTCTCGCCTGCGCCTCCCTCACGCCGCCTCACCGAGCGGGAGCAGCGCGGGGCTCGTTTCCCGCCCCGCTGCCGACCCCCCGGGCGGTGCCTCCCTCCCCTCCGTCCCCCCGACATCGTACCGCTCCCGCCCGCCGGGCCCCCGGCCCTCCGCGCTCCCCCGGGGCCGCCCAGCCCCGCACCGGCCCCCGGCGGGCGCTCGATGGCTCCGCGCCCGATTGCACTGCCCTGAG